TCATCCACCTATTGAAGATGGTTCATTATCACCAATACAATCATTTCTACAATTAGAACGTTATAATGGTATTCAATTAGTACAAACTATTCATGAAAATTTAGCATCATTATCAAAAGTTATTCGAGGAATTAGTTTAATAACAAATGAAATTCAAGAATATGCTAAAGATTTACTTCAAAATGAAGTAAGTAGAAAAGAAAAAAATTATTTCCTTCTTAAAATAATGTAATATTAACTTATTTTGTTTATCTCTCTAGACTTTTTTTTTCTTAATTAAAATAATTTCTTGGAGTTTATAGTAATATCTCGCAACTGGGTTGAATACCCGTCAATATATGAGACTCCCCCCCCCCCCTCCCAAGTTTTAAAACAGCTTCGATTATGATTGAACAATTTATTGCACTTGAAAACGAGTCACAAAAGTGGAAAGCGACATTGTTTTACTAGGAGAATTCGTTTTTTAATAAAAATTCATCTAGAAATGATGAGGAATCATATAATGAAGTAATTGAATACATGAAGAAAGCATTCATGCATGTATTCATAATTATGGCGTTTAGCATCAACATTGAGTTTCCATTTCATCAACAAGTAAACATATACTTAGCGAAATTGATCAGATTTTAGAAGAAGATAGACACTAAGTGAATCCTGAATTACTTGTTTGTGGAATTTGAGATGATCTCTTCTTTTTGTTGCTGTTTATGGAAGAAACTAAAAAGTATATTTTGTCATAGAAAGTAAAGATTTGAAAATTGTACTATGATTCTGAAAGTATTTGTCGGGTATCGATTAGCTCCAGTCCAAGTGCGAAAAATCGTACCCGCACAGGACACTACTTTGTAGTACTTCTTCTTTAGATTTATAAGAAGAGTAAATTTTGAACAGTATAGAACTCATCGAAAATTTATATATAGGAAACAGATCCGGTTTCTATTTTCGTGTAATTTAAATTATTGATTGATATTTTGCTAATAGGTTTTTTTAAAATATGAATATCGAAGATATATGATTATCGTAATACTCGTTTCTTCGAAAAAATCAACTTGATACAGATAGTAATGTTTCATTAATTCAGGCGCTCCGTATAAAAAGTACAGTATTTGGTAGAATTCACCTAAATTTTCGAAGAAAATGGTGAGTATAAGTTTAAAAATGAGGTTTTTGTAGCTCTTCCTCAAACTCTAATAACCGGAGTCAAAGTTCAGAGAAGGCAACGGTTATTGGTTAAGTTTCTACAACAATCAAGGACAACAGACATCAGACTGCTTAGTAATGGAAAAAGGTGCTGAATGGGATTAACACAAAACTTAGACCGTTCTAAAATATTTTAAAGCCTGGCTTAAAATTTAAATTGCTGAAATGAGTTTGTGAATGTTCTAAATAGTGTAGTTTTAGATTTTTGTGCAGATAAAAATTTATATTAAAGATGTCAAGAACGTTGCATAATGATACACTGATTTATTTCAGTCATCATATAATCAATATAAACAAGCATGAGCTAATCAAGTTATAACTTTGGGGAATAATCAATATTAGCATTTCTGAGTTTATTGAGATATATAATGGATATATACAACAAGCTTATTTGTTAGTTAAATTAAAGAAAAACCGGAATATGGAAATGAAAAACAATGAGCGAATAACAATAAGACCAATAAAAAATCGAGCGTCCGTAAAAGAAAAGAAAAAATTCGGGTTCGAAGCGCAGAAATAAATAATACAGATCATTTCTCTGGTGATCGATTATCATTGCCAAACAACTATAATCTGCTAGAGATTTTTCACTTCAAGTATTTTGTATTAGTATAATAGAGTTGAAGAACATATGTGAGTTCAACACATTAGTCCCAAATGACCTCCGCTGACAAGTCTTTTTTTCTTCTATTCAAATAACCGTTTGCATTTAACATACACACACACAACATTCTTGCTAAAACTTTCTATTGACTATAATGTAGAATAATGGATTTCCTATTTTAATAGTCTAGTGTAAATAAAGTATTGTTTATCAGCTTTTAGTATAATACAACATTTCATTTTCATATTCAAACAAATGGAATAGAATGATTTTAATAAATTAAAATAAAAGTTTGTTGTTTTTCTACAGGCTATCCGGAAAGTTATTTACCAAAAAAAGAAAGAAAGAAAGAAAGTATTGTGTATTTCTTACGCATTTCAACCAACTGAGTTAATTTTGTTCTTGATCATAGAAAAAAAAAAGTTTTAAGTTTTTATTCATAAATATCAGCAACTTTTTAATACACTTGAAATCAAGTACAATCTATTTCCATACAGAAGTTAACTGTTTCTTTCGATTACTTTCATTGAATTATCAATCGTAAAAAATACAATGTTATCCAAAGTTTTCTGTAGCATATTCTATTTTGTAGAGCTTTTTTTTCGTTGATTGTTTTTGTTGTAAGAGAAATGTTTGATATCCTGGGGCAATTCGATATTTTCCAGTAATTTGATTTTAACATCGTTATTTGTTCATCAAAATAGAAATATTTTTTTTTTCTCAAGAATGATTATCACAAAAAGCACTGTTAGATGGCATATGTCAAAAAGGTTTTAGATACTCTTGTGTTTTTATAATTGATTACTCATGGCAGAAATAAGGAAGTCATGTATTCAAGGCATTTAGGAAAGCCTTGTGTAATTATGTTCAGCTAGTGAATATGACTTTAATTCAAATGTCGTTCTATTCAAAAATATTCCAACTACAAACTGACATATTCAACATGAATTTTTCTGTATTAGAGTATATTATCATGTCTTTTGTGGATGCAATACCTTAAATTGTCTTGATTTGCAAGTCATCGCGTTCTAGACAAACAATATAATACTTCTAAATGTAGAAAAATTCTTATAGAATATACCATTTTACAACTTGAAAAGTACTGATATTTAAATTAGAACCATGTTCTTTAGCTAAAAATAATTACAGAAAAGTTGCTAAATGATTTGAGAAAATGACTTGTTCATCTTTGACTCCTAGAGAAGTAGCTGTATGAAAAATTAATTGTAGTCGTCTGGCTTCTTGAGCAATTTTCTGTATAAAAGCATTGGGAAAGAATCTTACGAAGTATTGGAGAAGTTGAATAGGCTACGTAAAAACTTAAGTATCCCAAATCAATTATTTAACAAATTGAGGAAATTTAAAAACATTAAGCCATTTGAATAATATTACAAAAAGAAAAACTGAAAATCTATCGTTTATTTTTATCAAAAACTGTCAACTAGATATTATTAGTTTTAAGTGATCTTACTTAATTTTTTGCTTATAAAAAAAAAATACTTGACATTCTACTTAGCTCATTTGATCAAAATATGTTGAAGATAATTATAGAAAATTCTTTTTGTCAAGTACATGACGTGTCATACACTACGCACATCTATTCCTTTGATATTTCTCTACTTCTAAACTTTTTAATAAGTAATTTTATTGATAATAAATATATTGTTTAGACTCCTCAAACATGGCAAGATCGTTGGGAAGGTCCAACAGATTCTATGCAGTATTTACGTGTTGTTGTATCAAAAGCTAAAGCTATGCAACAAATAGCAACATCAATAAAAGATCGTGATATATTTTCTCAAACAATTAATTTATCTGATCTATTTCGTCCTGATACATTTTTAAATGCTTTAAGACAACAAACAGCAAGAGAAACTAAACAACCTATGGATACCTTAATATTAAATACATCATGGTCTGGTGAAATTAAACATGGAAAAAATGTATCAATTAAAATCAGTGGTTTACAATTAGAAGGTTGTTCATTTGATAATGGACGTTTAAGTGAAAGTGCACCGGATTCACCAAGTATTACATCATTTCCATCATGTTATATTGCTTGGATACCACAAGTAAATATTTTATTTCTATTGAAAAATATTTATATTATTAATAAAATTTTCATTGTAGGATGTTGCCCAACAAGAAACACGTGAAACAATATCATTACCAGTTTATTTTAGTGCAGCTCGTGATAAAATTGTAACACGTCTAAATGTTCCATGTAGTAGTGATAAAGACAAATGGCTCCAATGTGGTGCAGCTCTTTTTCTTAAGAACGTTTAAATCACAAAAAAAAAAAAAAGAAAGAAAGACTAATGAAAATAGTGTTTTATTGTATTTATATTTTGTTGGTATTTTTATTGCTTATATCAATATGTTTATTAATAAAGAAAATCGATGATTGAAGAAATAACTTCGTGCTTATATTTTATGATAAAATTTAATTATTTATAACGAATTCATTGTTTTATAAACGATAAACGGAAAGAAACACTAATAGAGATTGAATTAGATAATAAGTAGAAAAACTTTCGATAGTCAAGTATATCAAGATTTAATTCAGTTAAAAAAAAAGAAATCAATTAATAATTGCTTTAATAATTTGAATATTTCGTGACATATTTCTATTTGCTTAGATTTAGCTAAGATAATAAATTAGATAAATGAGTTGTTCTAGTAGTTTTCTTTTTTCTTTCTTGTATCATTTTAGTCAATTATCATTCGAAAATATAGATAATAATAAAAAAAAAAGAAGGCATCACTTAATGAGACGTGACAAGTTTCAAGCACGATCTTCGAATACAAAGTTAAATAACTAATCATTTTATGATTTTGATGACAAACTGTGTCATAGAATGCGTTTCGAATGAGCGGAAGTTTCTTTTCTTCTCCGCCCAGTTACATTTCTTTCTTTCGACATACTTTTTCAAACTATGAGCAAAAAGAGAAAGAGCGAAGAAGAGAGAGAAGGAATACAGAGAAACTAATAAGAAAGATACAAAAAGGTCCGGAAATGCTATTTTCTCTGGCTTTATATATATTTGTATGTCGTTATTCTCGTTTTATTCTTGTGGTGTTTGACGTTCAAAATAATAAAACAACGAAGAAGGATATAAACGATCAACGACTGCTGGTCAAACTTCAGTGACAATCTTATTTTTAACATTATCCAAGTCTTCTGATGATTATAAACATGAAATTTGTTCACAACAATTGTTTCTTTCTCTTTGCCATCATTATCGTAAGTTATTAGTTATTTATTTTTTTGTATAGAAAATAAATTATATGAATTTTTATTCAAATTATTAAAATAAAATGAGTTGAAAATAATAAAACCATATTCAGTTTGTAATACTTATGTTTATAAATTTTCTTTTCCATTTGACTTATTTTTCGAGTTTCAATGTACTGTTTTCTAATTTTTATGAATGTCAATTTAGTTAACATATCGATAAATAATAGCAAAAATCGACAGGACGGATGCTTCCGTCCCATTTCTTTTTTTATTCATTGTACTAATTTCCGCTTGAAAACGGTATTGTTTTGTTACTTCCTGAATATTTCTATATTAGTTTGTTTTTATTTTCATGATAGATTGGCAGTCAACTATTATTTATTTGCACCGAAAGTTCAACAGTAAATATGGATTCCAATTCTCTTGAATTAAACAAACGTTATCGATTCGATAAAAAAGATACAACAACAACATCAATCGATAGTAATGAATCAAATGATAATGACAACAATGATGATTATATTCTATTATTGAATAAACGATATCGTTTTGATAAACGTTATCGATATGACAAAAAACGATCGAATTTTGATGGTATTAACAAACGATATCGTTTTGACAAACGTTATCGATTTGATTAAAAAAATTTTCATCAAAATAATGGAAATAAAAATCGAAGACACAGTATGATAAAAAAAAAGTCAAAATATAAGAAAAAAAAAAAAAAAGAAAAATTCACAATCATTTCCGTCTTTGTTAATAATACACATACTTCTATATTGATATGTTCCGCAATTTGAATACAATATATAATTCTCTATCTCTATTTGTTTCCTGCTGTGTAAACCTGAAAAAAAAAAACAAAAGACCACATATTGTTTTTTTCTTAATAGATCATAGAAATATTATGAAGAGTCTTATAAGAATAAAGAAAAAAAAGTCACACTTCGTCTTCAAAGTGGATTCGTGTTGCATGATATTGTTTTAGACATGAAGACGGAGAAGATGAGTGTACTTTCGATTGTTCATTAGTACTAGCAATTACAGTCGTTGGTGACAATTGAGTTGAAGAAATAGAACGACGTTGAAGAAAAGGAGAATCAGGAGGATGTTGAGAAATAGTTGTATTTTGTGATGATGTAAGTGGAGTTGTGGATATTTTATGTTCTTCATTATCAATCGTAGAAATTTGCCGTGGTGACTCCGTAGAAATACCACTAAAAAGAGTTTCTATATTTTCATCATCAGGTGTTATTTTACATGTAGTCATTAATAATATTCCATCAACAATTGATAAAATAAAAGCAATCCAAGCAATTATAGTTGAATAACCAATTTCAATGTTAATACTTGATAGAAATCGATTAATAGCTACTTTTGTATCTTCTGATAATTTATAAATTTGACTTGATTTATAATGTCTTTCAATAGCAAATAAATATTCAGTTGATTCATATTGTAAATAACTTAATACAACTAATAAATTAGTTAAAATAAATATCATAGAAAATAATGATGATAATACACCAAAACATTTTACTTGTAAACGTTGATAACGTGTCGTAAGAAATGGAAATAAACTGTAAAGAAAAGCAGTTATAGATAAATTAATCAATGCAATTATTCCAAGTACATGACATGCTTTAATATATAGTGGATAATGACAATCACATGAAGATGCTGATACAATATTTAAACGCGAAGCTAATGAGATATCAAATGTTGCACGAAGATAATCATTACCAATATCAAAATTTTTTTCACCTTTTTTTGAACAAAATCGATAATATTGTAAACTATGACATTCATTAAATTTTTCATCTTCATAGGATGGTAAAAAATTTTTTGTACATGTTTTATGGTATTTATTTAAACTCATATGGAAAATTTCATTGGGTTCATTAATAAATTTTGATGCATTATTTAAAAGATATTCACATCGTTGAAATAAACCATAAGAATGACGAGTAAAACGATGAACAGAATTGAAATATATTAAAATATCAGTACGAATAAGAGCATCAACACCATCGACATATAATGAATGAGTATTGGGAGAAACTTCTTTCCAATGTGGTGTAAAAAAAGCAACACATTGAAGTCCAATTGTAACTAATGCAAGAACAACACCAATAATAATACCAACAGTTAAATGTATGTTACATAAATGCATTCTTCTGTGAAGTAGACTTTCTTTTCTTGGTTTCGGACGAATACCATACATCAAAATGCTGTTGCTACGCTTTTCTAACATCTGTATTCGTTGTATTGTCAATAAACATCTTTATGATAAATATCACAATGATATGTTACTGGTGAAAATCTATTTAAAAAAAAAAAAGAAATATTATGTGATACAACGATGCCAATATTTTTTTATTCTATGAAACGAGGAAAAAATTCTTGTTTTTATTGTTATTGCCTATAAAGCTTTTCAACATCTGAAAACATAAAGTAATGTTGACACAAAACTTAAATGTATTCAATTAAAAATGAGTTATATTTAATTGAGCAATAAAATAATTTAAATGAGCAATAATGAAATTTAGCAGTAAATCTACTGCATGGGCAATAATTATATTGAATGAGCGATAATTATACTGAATGAGCAATAAATATATTCAATGAACAATAAATATATTGAATGAACAATAATTTATTTAAATTAAAGATAAATCTCATATAAGAAGGGGCAATATGGATTGATTTTGTTATGCACATTTCAAAGATGTATTATAAGAGAGAGTTGTTTTATACTATACATGTGTATTTTTGGTCTCTTTCTTTCTTTCTATACATATATATCTACGTCTTTCGTTATCTTTCTTTCTGTCAGGTAGGAAGTTGCACCTGGTTTTCTGGATCCGACTAATGAATCGTGAGCCATTCTATCATCCTGAATACTGAACTGTTATTCGAGTACACATTTTGTAGAGCAATGTTTGTTCTTTCAGACTATATGATTAGAACTGTACAAGAGTCATTCATAGTCAAAAGCTTTTAAATAAAAAGGTCTGGATTCACCGTTTCGGGTTTGACCGGGTCCAAATATGGGCCCGAACCTTTTTATTTAAAAATTTTCGGCTATAAACGGCTCTTGTACAGTTCTAATCATATAGTCTGAAAGAGCAAACATTGCTCTACAAAATGGATATTCGAATAACAGTCCAGTATTCGGAATGATAGAATGGTTCACGATCCGTTGGTCGGGTCCAAAAAAACCCAATGCAATTCCCTACTATCAGGTACATTTCCATATTGCTTTCTCTGGGATTCTTCATTTCTTTCTTTCATATGATCATTCACCTATATTCCATTTGTATCATATCTATCCCTAGTATATTTCGTCATCTCAGATATATATCTACGTATGTGATAACAGGGAGCCTCTTATTTTTCGGAAGTAAACAGCATATACACAAGAACATATTACGGATCTAACACATTTATTTATACAAATACGTAAGAAAAAGAGGTAAATCATTTAAAGCAAAAAAGCTTTATTGACACAATAATATACTATATTTTTCATTTTTCTTTTTTTTTCTTTTCAGTTGTAGCTAAAACTAATGTAGTATTTTTTTTATTGCTAAAATATGAAATTACTATTGTTATTTAACGAATTAATTATTGTCCATTTAATAATATAAAATTTCTCAAACAAAGTATTTTTATTGCTTACAAATTATTGCTAAATCATATTTTAATTATTACTCAAATAAATACTAGCCATTAAAAATTGAATTAGTCGAGAACCTATGCAGCTAGTGATCTATAGTTTTCAGTAATTGAAAAAGAAGATATAGAGAGATCTTTTTCTTCGATAATAAATAAGATGAAATCATTTTGAAACCAATGATTTTAGCAAAACATTCAAAACAACGGTATATGAAAATAGTCTGTCATTACAATGAAATTTTGATGACAAATGAGAAAATTTGCTTAAAAAAAAATAATAAAACTCCACACTATTTAATCAAATAGATACACAATTTTATTTGTTCAACATGAAAATGTGAGAAGACGATCACTCAAAGTGTATCTTGAAATATAGATCTCATGTTCGTCAATCTAAGCGACAAATCGAAATTAAAATTTCATCGAAACGAATTCATCATCTTCATACAGGTTTTTTTGAATGTTTTGCGAAAATCATTGATTTTGTCCTATTTAGTATCGAAGAAAAAAAAATATTCTCACGTCTTTTCTTTCAATTGCTAAAAATTGCAGGTCACTAGTTGTTTGCATTCTCGATTTATTCAATATTTAACTGAATATGTCCAAATCTCACACCGACATTAGTAGTTAATTATAATTCAACTGTCATCACTTGAAAAGTCTTTAATCGAAATAATACATGAGACTGATAATAGTCAAGTACTCAATAAGACATTCGTTTTTTGTTTTTAGAAGTAAAATATTGACTTTATGAGAAATATTTTCGAATCAAATTTGCATTATGATTTGTCTTTCGTGTTTAAACAAATATCCATAATTTATGTGTTTTTTTTACAAATGTTCTTGGCATTTTTATACTTTACGAACTTGACAAAGTTTTGGTTTTGCGTTACCATTTTTCATTCGTCAGGCAAGTCTATGCATACAAAAGAAAAGAAAACAATTTTGTTTTTTTATTATTCTTTTTCAATATGTTATACTTTCTTCTAACTATGCTGACCTACCTTCGTGCCAACATTATCTTGTTGTATTGTTCTTTTCTTTTTGTTTTGTTCAGTAAGTCTAATGTTGAATATTAATATCTTTGTCTTTATTCGTAATAAAAGAGTGCTTTCAGACAGTCACTAATTAGTTTTTTCTTACACCTGATCGAGCTACAGTACATACACGCGTAGCTCGAGACAGAACAGCAGTATAATGTTTGTGGTCGTGTTGGCAATAGCGATAAATGAAGTTTTCATCACACCTAAACTACCTGTACTTCGTTCTTACTATTCACGTTCTTTTTCGGCCCTTTTTTTCGTGCTAGCCCATTCTTTTCTTTGAGCCGACAAAACGAAAAAAAAGAAGAAAAAAAAAAGTGAGAAGAGAGAATTTTCGTTCTTATGTCAGAAAAAAGATGCGTAGACAAATAAGAAAAAAAATCATTTGATCATATTTTTCGAACAAAGGGGTTTGATAATCTGATCATCGAAAAAAAAAACATTGTTGACGATGTCAATATATACAAGGATATTTATCTATGATTTTTTTTTTCTTTTTTCTTCCTTTCATTTCACCTGTGTTTCTTTTCATAACCTTCTGTACGTATTCACATTTCAGATTTGATTCAGATGAGCGCTAATCACAAATTGATAGATTAAAAACCTCTGACTACGTGAGATATAGATAAGTGTAGAAAAAAAAAGAGATCTGTTAACTGATATTTTATATATAGAACAGATACAGAACTCGATTGATTTTTATTAGATTCTCATAGTAAATGTTCGAACATTTTGCATTTTAAACGTTTACACATTAACTTATCAGTACGTGAAAAATATTCATTATTGACTTTCATACATATGCATATACAAGCATGATGCAATCATGTTTCTACTATTTCAATACTGACCTTTTCTCTATCAGTCATGTTACCGAATCAATTATCATTGAAAAAAAAAAACTATTAAAACAAAATTGG